AGTTTCTGTCTCATTTTTAATTCTTTTTCCCCCCTTCAATTTTGCTTATTACTCTCAGTCTAAAAGATATTTAGTAGAACAAATGAAAGGAAATTTCTTCTAAAAATAAGTTTTGTTAATTAATGGTCATATATTTCTTTTTAAATTTAAAACAATGTATCGAAATATGAGTCAGAAACTGAATAAATACTATTATAAAATTTATTAGAATTATATCAATTGAATGATTTTTCTTTGCGTTAAGTAAAGAAGGCAGTCTCATTCAATTTTCTAGGCATATTAAAAATGAATCTTTAAATATTTTCATTCATTCATAACAATGTTAGTGCATGTAGAATTTTTAGTTTTGTTAAGAAACCAACTAACAAGGGTGGCATTCTACTTTTTATTTCTTTTAAGAGGAAGTATATTTTATTGATCTAAAAGGCAAAGAAAATATAGTTTGATTTAAGTCATGTGAAACTGAAATTCCATTTTACAGACCTAAAATTGTTGCAATTGCAACTGTCACAATGAATTACTCTTTTAGAATTTAAAGAATGAGATAAAACATTGCTTTAAATAGATATTAGCTTCTTTTAAAACTGTAATGAAAGCGTTAGGCAGCTCAATATTGATTTATTGCATTTCTCTTTGCTATAAAACGATATTGTTACGAATTTGGTATTTAAAAAGCTAATGTTAGTTCAATTATAAATTAATTGGTTTTATTTCCCGCGCAGTGCAGCGCGTGACGAATATTAAAAGAAGAAAGCTAAGCCGGAAAATTAAAAATACAAGAGCGCGTGCATTAAATAAATAAATATCTCGTTTTGATTTCGAGAAAGTACTGGAAAATTCTAGCGCGTGATTTCAAAATCTTATAAAAGGAGGAAAACACCTCAGTTTGTAGTAATTGCTGAGTTTGTTGTTGTTTAAAAAACTGCTCTTGTTGATTGTAGCGAATTCGCGGATTAGCTTTCTTTAGCTGTTTTGAATTACGTTCTATTGGACATTTGAGTAGTTAAAAGATTACTACTGTGAGATATTGTAATACTGCATGATAATTTCAGAAGGTTTAAGGATTCGATTGGATTGGATTGGATTATTCAGTTATGGCAAAGCACACGAGGGCTATCTGCCTAAAGGGAGGGATGCCTTTCGTGGAGGACTTTCTAAGGGAAACTGGCTCGTATACACGTTACACATGGGGAAAACCACGAAAACGCCCATGCAGCCAGCCCGTTCGCGGGATTCGAACCTCAGACCGAACTACCAGTGTTCAGCGTCTTTACCGCTCGGCCGCTGGTGGGCCTCAGAAGGCTCAAGCATTTTTGTTGTGATAATAATAAATTTTTGTTCATTTTTCATCGTACTTGTGCATTTATTTCGTAACGTACCCGTACGCACGCAACAATATGTTTAAAATTTTGTACGGTAGGAATTTTGTTGTAGGGAATAGTTACAGTTTCTCATAAAACGAGGAATTCGCAACGAAGTAATACATCCATAATTTTATATAATGTTGTATAGACAGAATCTCAAAAAGGGGTTATAGAGATTTCTAACTAGAACTTGAGTTTAATATTCACTTTGAGCGACCGACACCTTTGGTAAATAACTGAAGTTTTTATTGTAGATGTATTTATTAATATCTTTTGGGAAATGTTTTAGTAAAATATAAATTCTTTTTATACTACATTAAACGCATAATAAGCTCAAATTCAGCAACAAATGCGAAACATATATTTTTCTCACCACTTCAGTTTTTCAAGATGTTATTTAAAGATACCTGAGTTCTCTGGACTATATACATAATATTTGTTTTTGCTTAATTAATGCATAAAGTATTATGTATGCGTTTAAAGCATGGGTTATTCTTATTTAAAAAAGAATGCAAGGAATGCGTGTAAAGCTGTATATTCGTATTTATTTTCATAATCTGCAAAGTTATTTATAACTTTTACATGCTGTTAGTGATTGCACAGAATAACCAAGAAACTTTCATTCTGATAACGACATCTCACTAGCTAGTCGTTATGGTCATTACCAAAGTGACTATCAAGTTGATGGTTACAAGTTCCCATCCAGATTAAAGCTGGAATTGCCGCACTAAATCTGTAGTTTGTACGTTTTATGTGGTTCCTGCTTTAGATAAGCAAGGCAGTGGGCAACAACTCCTTAGATTCGCTCAGTCAAATTTTGTACGCTGTATTGCTTCGTATGTTTATTATCTTAGAATTGTTACTGATGTGATCCAAAGAGAAAAAGTCATGATCAGTTTGTGCGTGTAGCAGCTGAGCCTCAAATTAGTTTCTCTGTTCTATGAACTGAAGCAAGATATATTCGACTTATTCTCATTTCCCAAATCTTTTCAAGTGAAGGAATGAAAAAACAATAGAATAGAACACAAAAATCTGTATAAACAATTTTTGTGTTTATAACAACTAAACTTCGGTTTGGCTTGATTAGTTTGCTTAAGGTAAAGCACTCGAGGGCTATCTGTTGAAGGGGAGGGATGCCTCCGTTGAGTACTTTCTAAGGGAAACTGGCTTGTATATACGTTACACATGAGTAAAATCAAGAAAACGCTCATGCAGCCGTTCCGTTCGTTGGAAATATAACCCTAAACCAAACTACCAGTGTTCAGGGACTTTACCTCTTAGCCGCTAGTGGGTGCTTATATATCTAACACATGTATGCGTTATTTCTTAAGCTGAGATGGGCATTATTAATTAAAATCTTTGTTTTTTTCTTACATTGTTTTGTTAAAATTTCAGAATTACTAGATATAATCCCATAAAAGTATTCCTCAACACTTTACTTTTTTTTGTCCGTTGTATTTGCTAAGATTTAATAAATTAAATTGACTAAAATATAAGTGATGAAGTAACATGTCTAGTAAATATACCTGTTTGAGTACATGCACTAGCTATTTTTCGGGAAATTTCTCTCATTTCACTTAGAAAACAGTGTGAAAAAATTTTGGATACGTATATAAAATTAAACTTTTAGTCTATTCTATTCACATTATTTCAGAGAATATTTGTGGAAAGTTTCGTAAAATTGCTTTAGTAATATTTTAAGTTACGATAATAGAAATCATAATAGAAAATTTAGAAAAATTTAGAAAAAAAGACGTAAAATAATAGTTCGTAATAGAAAAGTTAAAAAAATCAAGCTTTTCGAAACTAAATTTAAAGTAACGCAGATAGAAACAGAAGGAAAAGAAAATGTGCGCAACTATGAAAATTAAATTCCCAAACTAATCTCGTTCTGGAATACCTATTCAAATACCTTTGTGCATTTAATATCAAAGTTTCAAAATCATCTTCTGGACATCACTAAAAGTATTCAAGTGAAAAATTCTCTTTTAAAGTTATTTAATGTAGTCTGTGTAGCTTTAGACATTCATTTCCAGATTATTAAATAGAAACTTCGGGTTCATGGTGTAGAACAAGAACAGCTGTAATTCTGCTTTTATCAATGGAGAAATAAAACCAAAGTAGTTTAGGGAAGTTAGCTTTAAAATTAAGCGATAAAGCTCTTAGGAAATTTCATCGAAATTGATGATTAAAACTTAGTCGTATGCCTTAAATTCGAGGTTTTAGTCTTCCATCCTTTTGTTACAAACAAAAAAAAGGAGAATTGTTAGGTCTGAAATGACAATTTGTTAGCTTTTAGTTCTAAATTCAGGTTTACAAAAGGCAGCCTACCCAGCTGTATCTAAGAGTTCATTAACTTTCCATTATGACTCAGTTTCGTATTAATTTTGCTTTTTTAAAATAAAAAAAAAACTACCAATAGAAATGGCAAAGGTGACCTCAAATAGGCAAAATACTTTCAGTCAATATATTTCTCATATAACATGAAAAAAAATAAGAAAGAAAGATGTCAGATATAAGGGCGAGCAACTAAGCACATACTAAACGAGGTAAAAAAAAAAATGTTGTTTGTTATCGTACTGCTTGATGATATAAATCAGACATAAATCAGCTTTTAAGTTTTATACCGAAAGCTCAGAAATATTTTTCCAATCTTGGGGAATTTATCGGCATTTTTTATTTAACTCAAGAATGCAAGAATAAAATTTTTTCCCTACCGCAAGAACGCCAGAACTCAAAAGTATATTTTTCATTTTTTAAACAGTTAAAATATATGTTTATAATTTTTGGGGAATTTTGTCAAATGCTCGGAAATTATAGTAGGTGGTGCACCTGTTTCGGTAAGCGAAAAGTCTAGATTATTTGCTTTATGATTGGAAATGAAATGAACTTCCCGACATTTCATTGTGTTTTTTGTTAACGTGTTTTATATGTTGAATTAGTAGAATAAAATGAAAGATTTTAAGTTATAGCCAAAATACAAAAATGTAACAGAGATCTGACACATCCGTTACATCAATTTTAAAGTGCATGAAATCACAATCTGAAAACTTAACATTTTTAACATTTAAGTGAGTTATCTTGAGTGCGAAAGGTTGTCTCTAGAAATTTTATTTTACATGAGAAAGACATTCCTAATTTGTTTCATCAGTTTGTCGGAAAAGATACTTACTATTTAAACAGACTACTCGAAATTTTGCATTTTAGTTGTTATTACGGGCCATTTAAATAAACTGAACGTCTTAAGACTACACGGAAAAAAACCAGCTAATCTTAGGGATATAACAATGTGTACGAATTAAGTTTGGCTTCGGCAAATATCGGTGATTACGATTGACAATTTTTGTATATAAGCTACATGCTACTAAGTATTAATTACATATACTGTTATCTATGACTACTATTTTCAGTTTCGTTAGTTTCAGCTTAGTTAATGTAAGTAAAATAAGGTATAAAACGCTTAAGAATTCTCGCAAATAATGAGGAAATAAGCTAAAAAATATGATAATTTAAACGAAAAAGTTTCTCCTAAATACGAAAAATAACGAAATCGTCCTTTATTTATTTGAAAATCAATGCTCTAAGGTGTTAATTATTTTCTTGTGCTTCAACCATTATTTTCATGTATTTCTACAGGGAGCGTGCCGGAAAGTTATAAGCCAATCAGTAGCAGCTCTCATCTTCATGTCTTTGAAAATGGATCTCTAACAATTCTGGATGTCAGTGAAAACGACGCAGGCTACTATCTTTGTCAAGCTTCAAATGGCATCGGATCTGGTCTAAGTAAAGTCATCAGCCTTACAGTACATGGTAAGAACAAACGCATTTTTAATTCCTTGTACAAAGCAAGCAATATATTGTAATCGCGAAAACATTCAACAGAAATATCCATTTTGACTTCTTCAAATCGATTTTGACTATTTTTTGGCGTAAGTCTATTTGCATGGGCAGAATAAAATACTCCTTTTTCTAAACAGATCGAAATAGCGCTTATTCAATAACTTTCCAAAGAATAATTTCACAAACATTTGTATGCCTGAATCCTTATTAAGTTTATTACTTTTATTCAGCTGATTTATATGTACTTGATAACATATTCCCTTACAACAGAACAAATTATACCAATAAGTATATAAGTATTTAATAATATTGAAAAAGTCAAGTGCTTGATTACCTGCATGTGCAGCTAAGCTGAGAGAAAAGTAACAGATAGGTTTATCATATTTCTTTAAATAACGTTCATTAGTCTCAGTAAGCAAAATTGATACAAATCTACCATTATTTTTATTTTTATTTAAATTTTCATTTATAGCTTCTGTTTAATTTACATTTTTTAAAAATACTGTTTATTTATTATTTTATTTTATTAATAATTTAATTGAGAAAACATAATTCCCAGCTCTAGTCTGAAGTGTCAGGCAACCGCAATTTACTTTGAAATCTCCAAGCCTGTCAGTAATAATTCATTTCTAAAAATATGGAAATTACTTTCTCTTCCTTTAATTCTTTACTCAGGAGAAAATGTACTAAATAATGAGTAACCAGAAACTTTGAAACCCATTGACGTAGGAAACTTCGCGAACAATTTAATGCTCCATAAACCGATCATCAAGCAAATCCAATCATAATACATCATAAAAGACGGCCACTCAATGAAGTTTGCTCTACTTCATTATATTCTTTGTGCCTCCCATATCTAAATTTGTTATTAATGAAGCGTTATATTTAATAATTTATTACAAAATTCATTTTAATTAAGTCGGTCAAATAAAACTTGTTTAATTAATTGATTGACTTGAACTGAGACGCTACATATGATATACCCTCAATAAAATTGATCCATTCTAGCATGAGAGAATTTAGGAAACAGGGATTTGTTAGAGTAGAATCGCGTAAAGTTTGGAAACTGGTGTACATAAAGATTTTGAGTGCAATTGCATCACATTAGCTGGTAGTAATATATATAAATTTGTCCAAAAGTCAAGCTTAGTATAGTTTATGTAGAAAACTATGTCCATTTTCAACGAAATTAATTTATCTATTTCCTTTTTATAGCGCATTTGTTTGCACAAGTCACGATTTAAACTGAGTCAGATACAATGTTTCTCTTCTATAAAACCTATGCTAAATTAAGTATAATTTTTGCCTGATTTAAAATATAACCTTCAAATATGCTTCTCCCATATATTAATTCCATATATTAACACAATTCCATATATTAATACAATTATAATGTTATTACTGTTATTGACGATACTGTATAAATAAGAAATATTAAGGAAAACAGAAGTGGATGATGCTGAGATAATTCCATTACAGGGCAAACAAAGGCTACAATTATTTATTGATATGCAAACTAGTGCTTTATTAACAACGTTATGTTAAGTAACATGCGTAATCATTAGTGCTGACATAAAAACATATAGAAATATGAAATCAAATCCATTTCTTGTTCAGGATTGGATCAGCAAAATTCTCGGAAAATTTTGGAACTACTTACTTTGAATACGTAGACACACTAGAAAATACACTGTTAACCAGAGAACAGGGGCTCCATTACCTAGCTGACATGATGTCTGCCTTACACGGATTAAAGCCCTGCCTCCAGAAGCTATTTATTATCACTAAGCAAAATAAGTTTACAGTGGCATACAAGGCCTTCAAGAACACAAGGACATAAGTAACATAGTCATTAATAAAAAGAAGAAAAGCTTGTTACAAGTAGTTCCTATAGCATTCAAAAAATAAACCGAGTATACTTTCCTAATTTGTATTTCAAATACGAAATACTTTCAAAATTGAGTCCAACTAATTTAAATAAAAACTATGGTACAAACAAACAAACAAACAAAATATAATACATCCATTATTGTATTATACACAATTAATTTCAATTAGATTCACAACTATCAAGAAGAAACATTCAATTTAGAAAAAAAAATGCATAAAGGTAAACTAAGACAATAATAAACTGCCAAATAAAATTCTTCATATGAATTCAGAATTAAGAACCAATAACTTTGGTAACTGAACAATATTATCGTAAAGTACACTAAACTTGAGATATTACTACAATACAAAACATAAATTTGGTTTAAGAACAAAACCACTCCAAGTAATGTAGAAACCCTACATCAGGTTTGCCGGTAACGCCATAGAAATACGGCATAAGAATAATGCCAACATAAAGTTATGAAGAATTTCAAATTCAAAAACCAAATGCATTCAAAAATAATTCAAAGAAAAATATTATAAAATACTGCCTTAAATGCAAATTTAAATACTGCCTTAAATGCAAATTTTATAATAGAGAACTCAAGTAAAACCAATCAAATTCACAAAAACAGGTCATCTATTCAACTCAGAAAAGTGCAAAAAGGTATACAAAATAATTATTCTAAATTAGGTTTGCTGGCATCGCTAAGACAAATGCAAACAAAATAATCATGATATATACATGATTAAGAACGATTTCAGTACCATACAATAAATACTATGTGCGTCACAAATAAAACCGACTATTTGTACAATATACGAAAATAATAGGCTACAAGTAACCGTTACAATTTATAAGAGCATTGATGCATTCAATGTCAGATAACTAGAAAATACACAAGAAAATATTTCCATTCTTTTTGGGTGATCACGAAAGTGACACTGTGGGATTTTTATAATTCGGTATAGAAATATAATATATACGGCATAGTGGTTAGGGAAACCGGTATGTGATACTGAAGAGTCCTGAAGGGTCTGGATTTGAATACCATAGAAAACATCCTTGTAACTTGTCTGTCCTTTCTTACGAGATAACCCTGGCTGCCTATTAGGTGCTTTCATAATAAAATGACCATCACTGCTGGCCTTAGTAATGGCGAAAGCCTAGATAAAGCTAGTTTCCGTCATTTAAAATATATGTATATATGTTTATATATCGAGTCAGATCAGTAATATTTCTCCTTCTCTTTATTTCGAGTGTATGCGTCTTGCAATAATCACTTTTTTTCAGATAGCTTTACGCAGGAAGTTTGGTCTGCTCAAATGGGGCGACTGTGGCACTGAAAGAGCACCTCGAGACTCACACCCTGACACATCCCTACATTTTTGGCAACCCAATGTTGTGACTTTCGATGAAACTGTAGAAGAATTAAATAGTGAGGTTTACATAGAGATATTAGCAAAACGATCGTAATATTGTGCAAATCTCAGGTAGAAATTGGAAAGGACGAAAGTTAACGACTGCATTCTTTCCAGAAGCTGTGGTTACTATGGTCACTTTATCTGACGCACTGTGAATTCTTTATGGTGTTATCTTAAATAAATAGGTTTTCTTAACCACAGATAATAACTTAATAAACCATATATTTTCTAAAGTTTATACAAAAAATACTTAATGGGAAAATGGAATAGATAAAAAAAGTAATTCTTGGACGCCTAGGGACAAAGGAAATTGCATATAATTGTTGAATAACATTTATTTTTTCTGCTCATTGAAATTGAATATTCTATTTGCGATCGTTAATCCAATGCATTACAATGAATTTGTGCGATTACGATTTTATGACAATAAATCAAATCAAAATTAAGAATAACGTTTCAGCTGTAACATTTAAATCTACCAACTTATCATTTATAGTATTTCTAACAGACCCTTAAGTCTTAATCTAAAACCACCGACTACCAACTTATCATTTAATAGCATTCCTAACAGACCCTCAAGTCTTAATATAAAACCACCGGTCTTTACTTGAAAAGTGGAAAATTACGTACATTTATTTACACGAAAAACACACATTTAATTGGCCTGATACTGGTTTATTTAAACACAGGATGTAAAATATATAGGTCTAACAAATCTATCTGATCACTAACATGGGATTTGGTAACAAGCTTCCAAGTAAATTTTCTGTAATTTAATACTGAATGATAATTCTGTGCAAATTTTATAATTAGAAATGAAACAAAACTGGTAGTCATTTCATAAAGATGTAAATTTTGTTTCACATTTGCACTATGTTTTTACGCTATATGTAAAAAAAGCATGAAAAATGTAAAAACTAATTCTGTACTTTAAAAGGACTATGTTTTAAAACTATATTCCTGTTGTTTAAAAGAACTATGGTTTTTATTAACTACACTACAAGATAAAATGCTCGATAATTTCTCATTCATTTTTGAAGAATTTGGACTTTAGTCAATCATTCCATATTAAAATTTAAATTAATTATACTTATGCTCTGAAGACGTAAAACTGTGTTTTCTGTTTTTGACTGTAAAGTACAGTTAATGAATGACATCTAGCGTCTCTTTGAAATTATTAAATTAGCTGCATATATGCGCAGTGGTTCTTGGAATTGTTTTATTTAATTATACTTAACTATAACGTTGAAATAATCAGCATCATACTTTCGAAAGGTTTTGGCTAAATAAAGCAGTTTGACTTCAGAAGGAAGCTAATCAATAATGCATGCCAAAAAATTAATTAAATTTGCAATTCATTGCAAAATTCAATTTTTACTTTTAATATGTTGGCAATGTCAGTTTTTCAATTAACTTGTTGATGAATCTAAGTCTTAATATTAAATTTCTACTGCATCACGATGGCTATTGAAATACATTATGCGGTTCTAAAAAATACTCGCTTATTTATTTTACTTATTTATTGATTTATTTTTTCGACACAGTTGCTGCTCATTTTACGAACAAATTCCATGCAGAGATAGTAAAGAAAGGAGAGGAGGCCAAACTTTCCTGCCAAGCATATGGAGAGAGGCCATTGAATATTTTATGGACGAAAGATCGTCAACCGCTGAACACGAAGGTTATGACAAGGTACTGTAAAATATTCATATACTCAAAGTCTTTTATGGCATCAAAATTTTGAAAATTTTTGTGATAAATGCAAAATCATCTTTAGGTCTTAAATTTCTTACTGTTTCTTACTGCTGTTGTTACAACATTTTCAAAGTGTACGTGACTTTTGCTAAGGAGAAGAAGAGTTTCGATTTCAAATTGTTCTTAGTCTTTGATATTTATCAGAACAGGACACATACTACCTAAAAGGCTATAGATAAAACCTGTGTAATTTCTGAAAATAGGAATTGGTGTTTAAATAGCATTATTTTTCACAAATGAATCTGAACTATCTTTTAAAAATTCTTCAAACAATATTTTTGATATTATATACAGTTTCATTGATGTTAGAAAAGAATTTTCTTACCTATATCCGTCGCAGAAATATTAGAAGTACGATTAAGAATTGCTCTTATCCAAGCATGACAAACAGTTAGCAGATTTATGTTTTCTTTTATTATATAAGCTGCCAGTTTATTCAGTTAAATATTTAAAAAGTAAATTAATTAAAATTGGTAAGCTTCGTACAAAAATACATAACGTGTGGCTTCCGAAAAGATTTCATTACTTGTAACTATGGTTATAAATTTAAATCTCTACTTGCCAGTTTGATATTAGTGTGATGTCTTTCATTAGGTCACGCATGTGTCATAGTGAGTTATCCGCAGATTGAAAATGAAGAATTAATGAGCAATAAAATAATTATAAGTTGTAGAGACATTAGGTTAATTGGAAAAGCCGGAGAGATGAAAATTTAGCAAACGTCTTCGCCGGGAATCGAACCATGGACCTCTGGAATACCGGCTCAGCGTGCAGAACCACTACATCACGAAGGCACGCTAGAAAGGCGGGAAAAAAACCTTATAAACTCCCCCTTTTACAGGGTGACTGGGATTTTTAGGGGACCCATTTCCCAAATCCTGGGTGCGGAGAGTCATCATCCATTACCCTTTTACTCCGGGTGCCACTGTAGAGACATTAGGATTTTTTCGAAGCAAGCAATATGAAAAATTAGCAACCACCTTCGCCGGGAATCGAACCATGGATCACTGGAATACCGGCCCAGCGTGCAGAACCACTAGACCACGAAAGCACACTAGGAAAGCGGGAGAAATTCCTTATATACTCACCTTTTTACAGGGCGACTGCGGTTTTTAGAGCACCCATTTGCTAAATCCTGGGTGCGGAGAGTCATCATCCATCGCCCTTTTAGTTCGGTCGCCGCTGTAGAGACATTAGGATTTATTTTGAAAAAAGAGAGATTGAAAAATTAGGAACGCCTTCGCTGGGAATCGAACCACGGACCTCTTGAATACCGGCCCAGTGCGCAGAACCACTACACCACGAAGGCGTACTAGGAAGGCGTGAGAAATAACCTTATAAAGTAAAAAATTATTTAAAGCGCTGCTTATGTTCTGATTTAATGCATAGCTTGGAAAATGCTTGAAGATTTTGCTGCTTGCGAAAATATATTATACATGCTGGTCCAAAGCTGATTATCAGTTTGTAATAATTATAAAAGTTAAATCAAGCAAGGAGGTGGAAGTGGTCTAGCCCTGTTAGTTTAAACTTCCATTTAGCTTCCTAAAAGTCTCTCGAAATCACTGCCGATTAAAAAACGTAGGAGTCGATTCCAAAAGAGAAAAGAAGATTTTCTGAAACAGAAAATAATCTCCCTAGGATCGAACATAGTATAGTATTTGAATTTATTTTCGCGTAATTAATATTTGTATGTACTTCCGAAATTTGCGAAATATTGTGAAACAGGGCAGTATAAAAACGTAATGCGTACTTGGGAGACGTAATGCTCACTCCGTGGTTCACTCATAAGACTTACGATATGAAGGACATTAACATTTTTATGATTCGCCTTTATTTTTGAAATAATTAAGTTTGCTACAATGACTATAATTTCTGTAATATCAAATGTAAATTAACTGTCTTATTCTCTTGAAACGGCAACAGCTTTTATAATTTAATGTAGATTTAATATTATTCAAGTTTATTATGCTGGATATATAAAGCTCGAAATCTTTAATCCTGTTTTTTTTCAAAAACTACTCAACAATTTTTCCTTACTTTTGAATCTATGTTAGAATAGAGTTTTTACAATACTCTTGGCGAAGGCGGATTCGAGGAACACGATTTTGCGTATATTTGTTATATTAACTGTCTCCATTTATTTTGTGCAACACAGAAATTTCAATTATACGCGGTAGGTTGAAGAGCGTTGGCCGTGCTGTGATAATCCTGTTTAATGATTAATTTGAAAATTCATTCTTTAAAGAAGTCGCATATTGCTTTGAACAGCAAAACCTAAACTTCAGAATGCTCCTAAATCTCGAACATGGTCCCCGGACGCGTAATGGCAAACCGCACATTGAGTTGATCAATGTTAACGAATTTCGCATCCTGCGCATGCTCAGTGGTTTACCGTTGTTGTGGGAGGAAATACTGGCCACTAAGGGGGGCCATAGTAAGGGGGGGCTTAATGCATTTGCTTCTGTTTCATTTCATTTTGGTTCATAAACGTATGCTTAATATCGGTTATTTATAATAATTTTCTTGACTTTAATTCAGTAATTTAAACTGGATTTATTCTTTAATTTGTTAAAGTATATACGAATGGAACGTATGCTAAATACGCAATTGCTTGTATTCCTCAGAAGTATAATCAATAAAGATTCAGCTAATATATCTTGTAATCATTCTTAAACGAAAATTTGCGTAATTTACAATCGATATTTACACTGTAAGTAATGAAGCAACTTACAACATAGTAAGTTTCAAAATCTCGAACCGTTTATATCCAGATAACAGAATATAAACTACACACCGTATTTATCTTCTTTTAAAATTGTACCAAAGTCGTAATTCCGCCAAATTCTCTTCTGGGCATGCGGAGTGTGCGAAATTCATTTAGCATTGATCAACTGATTGTGCAGTTTGCCATTACGCGTTCCGGACAAGGTGTTAAAGCCCTTACAGTAAAGCATCCAAATGTAGAGGTTTTATTCCTTCTACGCTTCCTTAATCAAACCAATGGATCAATGTATCAAAAAAACATTCAAAGCCTATTATGTCAGGCATGTTTACATCTCTGTAAATAAGAGGCGCTAGACGAAGAAACCCACGACACACTAATGGCATTTTGGAAGCAATTCAACTTAAGACATTCCATTAAAATGAAAGGTGCATGGGAACAAGTGAATTTCTCATTAATGGATATTTATTTTTTGACCAGAAAAATGGTCAAAAGTTTTAAACGATTTCCATCGATTGAGTGTGTGTGTATGTGTGTGTGTGTATTTAATTATGGCAAAGCACACGAGGGCTATCTGCCTAAAGGGAGGGATGCCTTTCGTCCATCGATTGAAAATGTAGCCAAGGAAATCATACAAACTGTAAACGCAATCGGCGGCTAAGGGTTTTCACACATGTATGAAGGAGAAATCAAAGAATTAGTCAGGAATGATGATCTTGAAATGACAAATGAAGAAGTAGTACTACCAGATGGTGAAAGCAGCGATAATGAAGATGATAAAATTTTGAAAAGGCGCATAAATTGTCTGGTTTTGTAATAGAGTTTTATCCAAATGAAGAAAGGAAAGGCTACTTTATGACACATATTGAAAAACCTTTGAACTATATATTGTAAAAACATTTAATGGGCTGTATCAGGCATTGCGCCAAGCAAATCTTGTGACACTTATTTAAAAGTAATTGCATCATGTACTTACTTATTTAGCAATGATAAAAGTACTTTCAATTCAAATTTGTTTCATTTTTCTCTTTCAATTCCAGTAATATTTAGATTTATTTAAATTATACAATTTTATTTTTATATCAACTCAATTTGTCTGTAGAAAGTCAACTAATTTTTAACTAACTCAATTATTCCCTAAGTTAAGTTTGTAGAATGTCGATGTAATTAATACGATGTTTGTCGTACGCGCTAGGTGTTAATGACGTAATCCCCGCGTTCGGCAAGAACTCAAAGAAACAGAATGCAGGAAAACTGAACATTTTCGCGCCTACTGTAGATGAAAATTACATTTCACGTAAATATACTAACACCAATGCGCGCCAGACTAGCTGCTAGTCTTAGTGAAGAACCTCTTCAGAATAAATCATTTTTTCGAAGATAGGACGTGACATATATTTTCTTGAGGTAATAGAATTTGGAGATCAGCCATGAAGATGGTTACGGTCAAGCACGAAAATTTCTTCTTGTGATTTGCAAAGACTGATAAAGTGTACCGGTTATCGATACTTTTACGAAACCTCTTTTCGGTATATTGGAATCAAATCACCTAGCGGCAGAAATTCATCAATATATATTAAATAACATATCGCTGGGTCTCGCTCTGATGCATTCAAACTTAGTAATTTAACTGCATTTAGATTCGAGCTTCCAGTCTTCGTGTACGATTAGGAGAATATGTTTATGAAATCTCCATTAATACGATGTTAAAAAATTAAAATTATTCACCATTTTTACTTTAATTTGCTCATTTGTCGACAAATACAGTTATTTTGGGACTATGTACATTTCTTGATGAAAAATTCATTGCAGTAGAAAATTAATTTATGAAGTAGTAGTAGTAATTTCCACAGTAATTAAATTAATTTCCAAAGCAGAAAATTGTGGAAATTATTTTTTTTTAATTTTATATCTTAAACCACATTAATCTTTGAAAATACTTCATTTTAAATTTCATTTTCTTACTTAATATATTAATTAATGAAATATATCATACTTAATCCAATAGTATAGCACGGAATAAAATCTTTCGATAAGGTAAAGAATTAGCTAGACATATTGTCTTTTACTATAGTGGAAAGAAAAATTTAATTTTTCGTCTGAAATGCAATTTATCATTAACTGCAAGAGGATGCTTTCTTCTAATTACTTTTGAGGGATACTTAATCTTATAGCATTTTAAAGTTTTACGTTATTTTAAACTTAATGCTGTATG